CACTCTTGTGGGACACTCTTGTAGGACACTCTTGTAGGACACTCTTGTAGGACACTCTTGTGGGACACTCTCGTGGGACACTCTTGTGTGACACTCTTGTAGGAAACTCTTGTGGGGCACTCTTGTAGGACACTCTTGTGGGACACTCTTGTGGGTCACTCTGATGGGACACTCTTGTGGGACACTCTCATAGGACACTCTTGTGGGTCACTCTTTTGGGACTCTTGTCGGACATTCTTGTCGGACACACTTGTGACAACTTGTGGGACACTCTTGTGGGACACTCTTGTAGGACACTCTTGTGGGACACTCTTGTGGGACACTCTTGTAGGACACTCTTGTGGGAGACTCTTGTAGGAAACTCTTGTGGGATACTCTTGTAGGACACTCTGAAGGGACACTCTTGTGAGACACTCTTGTGGGACACTCTTGTGGGTCGGTCACTCTTATGGGACACTCTTGTAGGACACTCTTGTGGGGCACTCTTATGGGACACTCTTGTCGGACATTCTTGTGGCACACTCTTGTATAGGTCACTCTTTTGGGACAATCTTGATGCCACAAATCATCCCGCTCACCAGCGACACGCCGCGTTTACGCCAGCATGTTTTGCGCTTTTGAGTGGCACGGCGCCACGCAAACACACTTCCCACCCAGGCCGCGCAAATCCCAATGGCACTGCAACATCACAAGCATCGTGTCGCCACGCGGTCTGCCCACACACTAGAAGACGAGCGTTTCGTACGAGACTTCCTCCAAAAGATTCAGAATCTGAATTCAATCTAAAAATCTAAAATTTGAATTCAGATTCTGAGTTGAATCTGAGTTCAAAATTTACAATTCACGAAGGTTACCTTATAAATGTAACGCAAAATTTCTCAGCAAAATAGTTTATTTTATATGTTTTATGAAATTTAGATATAAATTGTATATATTATAAACATTTTCAATATTTTTAATGTTTATCTATTTCTTTTGCAGCATTGTGGCTGGATCAAGTGAAGTGTAGGAAGAAATAGTAGTGTTGGCCATGCAACCATATGATCGAATTGATCATGTGGAATACAGTGATTGGTACCAAAAACGTTGGCTTTGCTGGGAAAGTGGCTGGACCACTGAGTGCCATGGTGGCAAGTGAACTTGATCTTTGCCAATACAGGCCTTAGTGATTTGATCCTGCGCCAATAAATGTATAGCTGCAAGTATGCTTTCAAGAGTTTTGTCTGTGGTCACTCAGGATTCCATACATGGACTCCAACCCCTACATTGCTGGCAGCAAATGGTGGACAGACATCAAGTGATGGTGATGTATGGCGCTTCTGCGTCTACAAGAGCACTGGCTGGGGCTTTTGGTCACTTGTTTGCAGAAACCAGTAGTAGGCTGGTCATTGAAGGGCGATGCTGGCACAAGGTTTTGTGGTTTGTGCAAAAATGTGTTTTCCCATTCTGAAGATGATGGTGGTGTCAGTGAGGTGACCAGGTGGACATCTTTTGGCCAGCTTCAATTGACAGAGTCTGAAGAGGTCTTTGCTTCATGGGACCGGATGGCAGGCAGATGGTCAACATGTTCTGCTGGAGAATTCAAAAGGTGGCAGCAGGCTGCTGACATAACTTTCTCCCCAGAAGCAGTGCTGGCAGACAGGACTCTGAGGG